TACTGAATGTGGTCTGGGGTGCCGCCTGCGGCCCAAGAAATTAAATGGAGATACTGGAGTAAGTAAATCAGGAAACAACAGTGTTGCTGAAATAAAGAAGCAGAAGTCAGGAAATGGTACTCCTGAAATTCAGAAAAATTTACCTATTGGAATGGTTGTAGGTGCCCATGCCAAGTCTGTAATCTCACCTGCATGATACATTGCTTGCATTATATAGTTGCAGAAGAATTTCACATAATCATAATCTGAAGGTCAATGCTGAAGAACCAAAATTGATTGTCAGAAACTAAATTATGATTGTATAATCACAATGTTGGACAAGATTAGCCCGTAACAGTTATAAGTCTTTCGTCTTATCTGCTAAAGCAGATATAACAGATTTATTTTATAAAATTCTAAGAGAATAGCAAAGGCAAACTGTTGTGCAGTATAATATTTTTAGGCAGCCTTGGGTAACAAAATCTGAGACGAACCATTTTGAACATATGACAAATTGTTGCTCTGCACTCAGTCCGCTTAAGGAGCAAAACCTCCGTCTTCTATAACAAATATTCATATATGGAAACTGAACCTCTTATAACTAGCATAAAGATGATTTCAGAAGTGAATATATCTCTGCAGATACAAAACCAGATGAAGACAATTTTATTTTTTATTTTTTATTTTTTTTTAATCCTTTTCTTTATTGAAACTGGAAAATGAGCTAAGGTAGAACTTGGTTCCTCAAAACTAGTTCATTTGCAATCCAACAAATACCAGGAGGAGACAACTAAACTAGTGCTATTCAAAATTCTGAAATTTCAAAAGGGGTAGAATATGATAACTAGTGATGCATCGACAGATTTTACAACACTAGTGGTACAAATGTACACTACTACCCGGATTTTTGGATGAAACTCATTCACAGACCAAACACAAAAATAAATACAACTCCAGATAGCATCATGATATTAACTAGATTCCGAACTCTACTATAGTGTGCCATACAGTGATGTGTCATGAAGATAGTCAAGCTTTTATGCAGCAAAGAATTAATACTGTCTCCAGAATTTCATTTCTTCATATAAAGATATTAAAACGTTATTGTTGAAGAAGCTATCAGGGATGACTTAGTTAACCATGAAGCTCCGGATTAATAACTTCTATAAAATAAAGAATCTAGATGTGGCCCAAAAGGTATATAAACGCGTAAATAGGAAAAAAGAAAGCTTGGAACTCTTGAAAATAGGCTTACTATCGTGGGCCCTGTCAGCCATGTCCAAAACCTGCCCCGTCTCGGCGCATAACCACTGCAGTGTTGAACCATGAGTTGCTGCCAATATCGTTCCATCGGGGGAAAGACAGAGACGATCATAGTGTAAAGTCGTGCCATTTGAATCAGAGAGTGGAATGGGCAACACCTTCAAAGTCTTTGGGTCCTCATCTAGATGATATCGAACTTCAAGAAAATGAATAAAGAAGATTACCACAATGTATAATGTAATAATTCTAGACCAATAGAAAGCAGAAAAAAAAAAAAGGAAAATTTAGGATGACACCATTGACTTCTGAAGGGAATCTCTTTCACAGTGCCCACAAAGATAACTAATCATAAGTACCAAGGTTTTCAAGATTGGTTCAACAGGCAGTTTGATTGTCAATTGGCAAGGTCATTCTTCCAGTGTTTTTATGTTGTTTCCATCATTTCTTGATGTACTATAAAATTTCGACATTTAACAGAGACAAATTTATAGGCTTGTGACGCAGGGCATTTCGGAAATGCTCTTCACGAGGTAAACTACAATAAGTTCCTAATGAGAAAATTATGGCCGGAGTCCCCAACTTCTGGAAATCTAGAAAGCACGTCTTCAGCCCTCAATTTGTAGCAATTGGTCAGTCCTTTTTATTTTTTGTGGAGAGTAGGTCCCATATACACAGTTCTAATCCATTTGGATGTTAAAATGTCAAATCATTAGACCCTTATTTTGAATTGATAACAAGCGGAGGAAAAGAGAAAAATAACCAAAATTCTCCTTTTCAAAGCTTCAGCTTCAATGGAAAAATAACTTAAATAACAATACAGAAGAGAGCTACTCATACCATTAATATTCCATATTCTTATCGAACCATCCTTGGATGCAGTGATGATTTGTTCCGAATTTGGAGAAAAGCACAGCCAAGTCACCGCACTCTGAACATCAGAAATACCAAATAAACAAAAGAGAAAAATTCAGCAGTGCGCATATATTCAAGGCTTTGGGCTATAAAAGTCACAGACAGGATAAAGAATGACATGGTGCAGCAAGAGTTATTCAACTAACTTAATACATCGCAATTCAAAGTGCGCTGTGTAGAACATTGAATTAGGATCTCAAGGCAGAGCTTACAAAATCTATTCCAGTCCAACATAACTTCAGCTCCGATAAGATGCTTCCAACAATTTCCTTGAATACCAAATATTTCTTCCACTTCCATTGTTAGTAAAATGTCGGTTAACACTTAAGCTTTGATAAATTATCTCTATCGAAGTTAAGATTATAAACCAAAACCCCCAAAAGTGACGTTCATGCAATTTCCAAAAAGTAGATAAAAGAGTCATGAATCCCCAATATGCTTAAAGGTATAAGGATGGAAGAGACAACCTTAGCTAAAATATTTTACTATGCATTATTCCACAATATGGCTACCATCACATGCACATTTAAACTATGACACACAAGTTAGAACAGGAAAGAAGATGAGCAAAGTAAGTCATGGAGCATGAGCGTACTCAACCTTGTGTCCTTTGAGCTGCATGACTCTGAGAATCTCCTTCACTGAGCCATCTTTTGAATAGACAATTTCCCAAACCTGTCATAATAGATCCCATATAAGTAAATAGAAGTATATTTATTCATAACCAGATCTTAAGCTAACTTACAACAACAATGTTCGGTGTTTAAAAAGGCAAAAATGAGTATTGAGGTGGTTTTCCTTCGTTAGATGAGGCATAAGCCTCAAGGCACTTTGAGGCATAAGCCTCACAGTGAACCAGAAAAAAATAGTCAAAAATATAAAATTAAGCATGTAAGTTAATAAACAACTGTAAAATTCCAAAAATAATAGATTAGCTTGAAGTATCACAGCAAACAAGCACAAAATAAATTAATAAAATCATAAAGTTGCAACTCAAACAAAAAATAATCACTCATCACTACTACTGAGACCATGTATAGAATCACCAGTCTACGACGAAGTGAAGTCTGGATCAGGAGGGAACTTGCCATCAGGGGAGTGATGAAGTTCTAGGATCGCAGTGTGTTTTAGAATGTGTGTTGTATGTTTATATTGTTTGTGTATTTGAAATTATAAAGTAAATTATAAATGGCATATAACTATGTAATCAAAGAAATCGATTAGGTTTTATTAACATATAATGGGTTCCCATATTTTATGGCTAATAATCAATGAAAAGGTAAATTTTATTAAATTATAATACATTCCAAAAGCTATTTAAATATATAGAAGATATCCAATGAAATATGAGAATTTTAAAGAAAAGTGGTACCCAAGGCAATTTAAGAGAGGCGGATGTCTTGATCACTAAAGGTGTATGCCTCATTTTGGCCAAAGAAATTCTGTTTCAGTACTATTTTCTAGCACCTCATACTAAGGCACACCTCAATAACACCTTTTAAACCATGAAAAATAAATTCAAAATAATTCTTTCAAATTTGAGAAGATGAACAAATTGTCTTTCAATGAAGGCTAGATTATTTTCCAAGCACATGCCAATATTATGTTATCGTGGAGAAAATTGAGGTTATAACTCTTATTCTGAAACCACACAACCAAGCATTTATGAGTCAATTACAAAATGTGGGAAGAAGATACAAATCCTTGACAAAAGAAGGCATAGCCTTAACAAATAAAATGGAAGGGATGGCAAATGCATTTGCACAACCCAATAAACCATTCATGTTCCTTCTAACAAGATAACTTTGCTCCTTCTAAGCTCCACAAATGTTAAAATGGAAAAAAATTAGCCACATTAACATTTTTGAATGTTAATCGTTCGTGTTTTTAATGCCCTTTAACCCTCCTAATTCTTCTCCTACAAGTTCCCCACAACTATTTGTGGACTTCTGACACGTCCTTTCACATTCTCATCCATGCATCTCAATTACACAATTCCAATTATGTCGTGAAAATGATGGTTTGATTTGAGATCTTAACTTTTCACATGTCTTTATAAACAAACAAGGTTTTTGGAGTTTTAGGAGATCTTTTTTCTTTCCTTTCTTCATTTGGGTTGAATTTCCTTCTCTACTTTCTTCTGTAAAAGGTGCCTACTGAGTGATTTCAAGTTTCAGCATCTTGGCCATAGCAGCCTCAGACCAAGCTTCCCAAATAAATTCCAATTATGTCGTGAAAATGATGGTTTGATTTGAGATCTTAACTTTTCACATGTCTTTATAAACAAACAAGGTTTTTGGAGTTTTAGGAGATCTTTTTTCTTTCCTTTCTTCATTTGGGTTGAATTTCCTTCTCTACTTTCTTCTGTAAAAGGTGCCTACTGAGTGATTTCAAGTTTCAGCATCTTGGCCATAGCAGCCTCAGACCAAGCTTCCCAAATCACAGAGCATGTGTACATTGTGTAGAAAAGGTATGCCAAAATCGATCATCTGTGCCAGTCCAGAGGCACTAATCATTCAGCTATGATGCACAAGAGCATAAGCAGTTTGGACAAGGAGAGGCCCCCAAACCCAGGTTCAATAACCAGTTTGTTTAAATATTTATGTTGCATAGGACCAGTACACATGATTGCATAATTTCAAAAAGAGTAAAGATTTTCTTCAGAACTAAAGATAAAGATAAATTCCAGGTTCCCAACGAAATGGAATTCTCAAAAGATTAAGTCCATCTTGTCTCAATTTGTGCAATTTTCCCCATGAAATTGAGCTATTATAAGCCTTTCTATCCAAAAAGATATTGTAACTCCTTAGTAACTGCATGTTTTTAATTCCCGTGATGGAGAATGATACACCAGAAACATGAAACATAGCACACAGAAGTATGCAGGCAAGCTCGCTCGCTCACGTAGTAATTTACAACTTACAACCAAAACTCAAAGCCTTTAATGTGGGATTATAAATGGAAACAGAATATAATGCACTTGTCGTCTAAATTAAGTGAACATGCGAAAAAAGAATGAATTTTGACCTTCACATCAGCAGTAAAAGCAGCGGCTGCGATAAAACGCCCATTTGGAGATATGGTGGCCATTGTGTTTTTGAGCTGATTTGTATCTACATTGCCCAATATCTTTCCAGTTTTTCCATGCCAAAGTATAATGTCAGTACCTGAAAAGTAACAGAAAATTCACGACAAAAGAAAAGTAATTGGATTTGAAATTCTTTATTTTTTATCTCATCTTTTCCTTGGAACAAAAGAAGGATGTGGAAAACTGAGCTAGTTCTGCCATCATACAATTGAAGCATTTCAATACCTTCAACCACAATAAGTGAGAGGACAAATTAATGAGGTAATAGAGGGAAATACCAAGACCACTACTAAACACAGCAACCATTACTGACTTAACATACTGATTTTTATCCAGTAACTTTTAGTTGGATACCATGTTTGCAGTTAAAGGACTTTCAAATGATGGGAATCCACCATAAACCAAAAACTTAACTAGGTTTGTCAGAAATAAGTGCCATGGAGCTAATTGACTAAAACATATGTCATTAACCATGGACATCAATAGAACTGAAAGATGTTGATTCCAGCCATAGATCTACAATCAATAGATTCAAAGGATTTTGATAATGAATACATAGTAAATGATAAAGTAGAAAACAGGACAAAAATTGAAATTAACGAATGGCTGGATTGGTGAATCTACAAAGAACAAAAGCACCTATAGTCATACTTCTGTATGATATGATCATTGCTGATTATTTACTTAATTCTGTTCATCTGGGAAAGTAAAATTTTCACAGGATCAAAAAGAAGAAAGAAAATTAAGAAAATGCTGAACCATGAGAGGTTACTATAGACATATTGACCCAGATTTATACACTCTACTTGATACAAATTCATATTGAGCATAATCAAAACTTCTTAATTTCTCTCTGGAAAACTGAAAGTAACCAACAATATTGGAAATACATCACTAAATAGATGATTCTTTAAGAAATCTTCAAATTATTTGATATAACAGGACAGAGAACAAATATCAGAAAATACCTTCAGAACATGAAGCAATAATTGTGCTTCCATCAGCAGTGCCATAAGTTGCCTTAGTTCCTACCAAAGTGAGGATGGCCCTCTTATCGTGAACTTTATGGTGTTGCCATTTAATTTCAGGGAGTGGAAGCTTGGCCTGCTGCTTCTGTTCTTCAGTTGTCTTGGGTTTTTCCTCCCCATACAAATATAAAGATGCACCAGTAAGTGTCTGGGAAGCCACTACAACAGAGGATGCGTTATCGGCAAATACCACTGCTTTAGGATGACCACCAGCAGGCATGTTAATTCTCAGAAACCTAGGTAAATTGGGAAAGATACAATCAATGGCGATCATAAAGATACATCTATAATAATTATGTTGAGATAAATTAAGTAGAGATCCGTACTTGAAACTTTTACTTGAGATGTCATCCAACCTGAAAATCCTGACAACACCATCTCCACAAGCTGTACCCACAAACAATAAGTTATGTACAACATAAGGAGATTACTTTAGTGTCAGAACCTAAGATGCTAAAAACGGGATAATACAGAACTAGAAGAAAGAGAAAGCTATAAGACCTACATTCGCATGTAATTTACTACTTTTTATGTTCATTTGACTAGATTAGAATGTACAAACGATAATAGACATACGGCAGAAAATGATGCCAAGGCATAAAAGGTTTATAATTCTAATTCCTATTATATAGCTCATCCATAGATACATTGTTTAAAAAGGAAATCTAGACTAGAATATAACGTTTCCACAGAGAACATTGTTTGTCAAACCACTCGTGAGGAAGGATCCACAGAAAGTTAATATCAAGCATGCAAGCAAGTAGGAGAATATATCTTAACAACATCCAGCAAGCCATAGAAGCTCCAATGTATGGATGTTCCAAGCAATTAGAGCGCAAACATAAAGGAGGAAATCCATGCAAGTGTCATATAAATCAAGCAATTAGTAGAATATAACGGTAACCCCATCCATCAAAACACAAATGCTCTCTGCAGTCACAAGACAGGCCAACACAACAATATGCATAAGAAACAACTGATCATTCCTGTTCCGGGCTAAATTTACCATTCTGTCAAACCTCATCAAGGTCACCTTAAACCGATATCAATATAAAGAAGCACCAGCTAAAACGGGCAAATCATCGCATTTGAACAAGTCTCCTTTTCACCAAAACAGGTATTCACCACAAGCTACAGTTTTAACAATCAGGCAATCCACGAATAACATAAGTTCTCACAATCAAACCAAAAGTTATACCACCTACAAGAAACCCAGGTACAAAATCCTCCTAATCACGCACCAAACTGTGAAATACAATTCTTTGACATTAATTGAAACAAATTAGGATTAAAATTTGGCTATTTACCAGTTGCCAAACTATGCCCATCTGGAGAAAAACATAGGCCCGTAACAGCATCGCTGTGCCCTTTCAACGTATTCAAATCCAACGGGTGATGCTTCTTGGCCACATCCTATATTCCACATTACACCAAAAAACATAAAACAAATGTTATACAACCCACTACACACGCATATAATTATACATGCACATCTATGATCAAATTGAGAATAATTTTATTACTTTATCGGCAGTGTGCGAGTGAGAGTGAGATTTGGGCTGCGATTTTTTGGTGGTTGAAGGCTTTGAAGAAGGTTTCGGGTTGGGATTAAGCGACTCGGGTCGGGCAATTGATTCGATTTCGGATTTACGCTTCCGGAAATAGCTTCCGAATACTATAAATGCGATCAAAGCTCCGATAATCACAGAAAGTAGTATAATTAGAAGAGCCGCATCCATTTTCGCTCGCTTGATTTGAGGTTTTTCAGTGGTTTATGAGTTTTAAGATTAAAACTGGGACGATCAGATTACTCGATTAGAATTACTAAGACTGGAAGGGTTCAGTTTGTCGGATTACAACAGTAAGGGTCGGTCTTCTCTCTCAGTGTTATGTTCTCCCCAATTTTGTCCAATTTCAACTGAAGTCGTGTTGTCATCCTTTATGTTTTGGTGAAGCTTTATTATTATTATTATATTTTATTTTTTTAAGAGCAAAATCGGATGAGTGTATAGGGGTGTTAAATGGAGTGAGCTCGCACTCGAATCGCTCAACAAAGTTCCGGCTTTTCCTATCGGCTCATCCCTTGGGGCGAGCTAGCCATATTTTTCATTTATAAAAACTACATATTTTTCTATATTTGTTGATCCGTTTAGCACAAGAAATAACAAAGCTTGCTAGCTAGCCCGTTCGTTCCTCTAGTGGCTCGCATAATTAATTTGTTGCTTGGGTTGTTAGTGGAATGAGTTGAAGAGTAGTTCGCCCTCTTAACACCCCTACGACTGTATATGATTCATTTGATTGATTATGTCAATAGATATTTATAGTCTTATTCTATTGTTTTTCTCTTTCTACGAAGAATCTATTTTGCACTACAAGCAAATGTTTCCTTTGATGCTTATTGATGAAAAATAAGACATCATTGGTTGTTGTTCACGAATAAACAATGCAATCTCACATTCCATGATTGGTGGTGAATTTTCCGTATGTGCCATGTACGAATCTAGTGGTGCTTCTTAAAAAGAAAGTGAACCTTGGGTGCAACTTTTTTTATTGGATCCTTTGTCACAGGACCCAACTTTAGTACCATTGTAATTGAGTGAAATATGCAGCAACATGATGGAGATTGAAAAGCCCTAATTTCTCGCATCACTGAAGCTGGCAAATATTATTGGCATGCAACAATAACATCCTAAAATTGTTTAATAACATCCTGCGTGAAAGACAGCCATTGCTTCAATTTATGTTTTCTTGATGAAGAAAAAATTTAAATAAAATAAATATATCTTCTATTTACGCTCTGTTTGTTTCCAATTTTTTGTCCAATTTAAATTCATTTTTGGACCGTTGCATATGCTTTACTCCTGATTTTTGACTTCTTATCTCACAATGGGTACCTTGTGCTGGCAAAAAAGTCAAAAAAATACATTATTCTCTTCAAATAATTGGAAACAAATGGGGGCTTAGTAACTCAAGCTTTTAAACGAGTTGATTCAATGCAGTAGCCATCACTTAATTTGAAGGTTGTGCACGTATCAAAATTTAATTAAACAAACGCGTATTCTATACTGGTGTTGTAGCATCATTGATGTTGAATGACATTATTCTTTATATTTTTATCTAGTTGTCCAATTGTATTGTGATGACTTTAATGTATTAAACTACAATGAAGGGGGTTACGGCTACTTTTTCAAATTTTGTATTGAAGGCATGGTGTAGCTATCCTTACATGCAACTTGTATTTTGTGTAATAGCTTCTTCTCTGTCTAATTACCGAGTCCACATTCCGAACATTTGCATATAAAGTAGTGTTAATGAAATCCTACTTCTTATAAAAGAGAGGATAAAGTTTTACTGTTCATTACTGGGCCATTTTCACACTAGGCCAGTTCGAAAGTGGTTCCTACTTAGAAAGTTGGAAAAAGTGACCAACAGGGCCCATTTTTCGAATTCAAAAGATTGAAAAATTCAACAAAAGTAGGTCAAATTAAATAGTATCCCAATAGGGGGTGCCACACAACCCTTCTGGTTTTCTAGGGGGTTGTTCAACAAGCACCTCGTATTCTTAACTGATTTAATACCGTTCCTCCCAAAAGGTTTCTTACTATTCATCAATAAATATCACCTAATTATCTATGGAAGTAATTTTATCCTTATCTCTCGTTTGTACAAAAGAACTGTAGCTTCCCTTTTGATCTTTACAGGCATGTGACAACATATAGGACTAAAGGTATTTAGGTAGTGGATGGAGTAAATTTGGAATACAATGTGTTTTTCCTTGAACTATGATGAAAAAAGTAGGAACGTGCATTTATTTCTTTTAGCACTAGGAACTGGCAAGTTTAGTTTGTAGTTTGGATTCTCGATAATTACATCCTATCATTTTGTGTTGTTTTCACCCAATTTAGATTTTTTCCCCTTATCATTGGCGAATTTGTGAGTTAAATAGGAAAAGTTATTATGTGGATGTTGTATCATTGACTATGGCATGCATTTATTGTTGTATGCTTTACATTTATCAAAATATACGATTTTACAATAACGCTATAGAATGGAATTGTGGTTATATGTGCGCCTTTTTGATCATTTGACCTGTCTTATGTTTTCTTATTTTTCTCTTTGCTAGAAATGACAGGTGAGATTTTTGGAATAACATCTACATGTGTCGTAATTGATGACTGGGCCATGACTCCTGCATTCATTGGAGATTATTGGTACAGACATGCAGGGTGTTATTTTTCACTCTTGATAGTTGACAATCGTCTGGAAGATAACACAGAAGAACGGGAGCGTGTAACTGCATGTGGTGGTGAAGTAGGGAGGCTCAATGCTTATGGAGGCAATGGGGTAAGATCAGTATTTTTTTTTCCTTTTCCTGTTTAACTTGCTGTGGATATCTTTTGATTTTTTTAATTTCCTTTTTACTTCGTTAATATTCCCCTTTCGCTTTTTAGAAATTTCCTTTTTAGTTTCAACTATTTTTTTCTCATTCATCTCTGTTTTGTGCTGTATTCAAATCCTTGCTTGAATACTAATGTCAGAACAATGTCACCTTTTGAGCATCGCGAAGTATATGTCTTCAACGAAGGAGGAGAGGTTAGAAAAGCATCCTTCATTGAAGCTTAAGGTATTTAGTCTGTACATTTGGTTTCACTTGAATTTAGTTTATGATTTTTAACTCTGGCATTAAATCTTGCCTCAAGTTAAGAATTGAATATTCCTCATACTCCAGCTATTGATTATTTTTATCCATATTTTCATTGTCAAAGGTATTGAATAAATGTTGAATTGTACGAGTGGAACTTTATGTCAAATTTGCAATGCTATCTGCATGCTTTGCATGTGTACAATCAGTAAATTTGATTTTAATTCTTCATGTACACTCTCTTTGTCTCTTTAATATTGTTGAGTACAATTATAGAAACCCTAGAACAATTTGATACACTGATATGATTTGTTGGAACACATTTCTCCATTGTATACTTCTTTCTTTTTGGAATCACGGTTTAACATATGTTTTGTTTCTTCATGGGTATTTTTCTTTGTTCTGGATGCATGCTTACAGAAGCAAACAAAGCTTTCATCATCCAAGTGCTACATTTTAGGTTATATTGCTTCCGATTTACTTGCAAAGCTATTTATATCATATTTTTTCTTTAATCTTCCAAAAAAGGTGGTGGTATTTCTGATTTTATGACAAGACTAAACTACTTAAGATTAGTGAATGCTCAAATTGTTCAACCTTCTAAGGAAAAATCTTATATCATGTCTTGTAACTGTATTCATCTATTTATTGATGGCTCTCTAGTTATCAATAAAATGAAACTTTGATAAATTTGTATGTTACAAAGAACAAATGGTATCAAACGCCTATTTTTTTGATACAAGTATTCTATGAAAAGAATATACACACTAAATTAGTAAATTACTTAAAAATCTTCGACTTTCTTAGACAATATTATATATTACATCATGTATTTGAATTGATCTATGAATTGATGGTTCTTTGTTATGTGAATAAGTAAATTTCTGATCAATTTATTTAATACCAGCTAAAAGTGGAAGCAATTGACTATTATATTATGCCTATGCATTTTATGTTTTCTATGCTGAAAGTAGACTAACAAATACATACTTTTAGAAAGAAAAAAAAAATGATATTTTTAATCATTCATTCCGAAACTCCAAGTTATGATATGAAAATACACAAAGTTAAATGGTAGTTCTCCACTTAGATCTTCTAGCCTTAACTTAGAGATTACATTTTTCATGCAGGTTTAGTATTGAAAACTATTGCATAGATTTGTGCATTTGGAAAAAAAAATTCAATTGTTGAAGAGAGAATTTTCTTTTCAAATAATAATCCTGCTGATGAAAATAAATAGTAAAAAACTTACCAGATTTTTTTAATTCTAGGGAACCATGTTACTTCACTCCATAAGAAACAATATGTAACCACTTTACAAAGACCGAAACAATGTCAAGAATGTAGAAAATCATCCCCACAGGTCAAAGATCTCTTACAAGCTCAACATAATTCATTCTATGGTAATGTTTTGTACTATTACTAACCATTCACATTGAATACCCTAATATTACCTTCAAAATAACACAACTTGCACATTGCACGGGTAAAAAAACTAGTACTTATAAAAGTAACTTTTTCTTCTAAAATTCCAGGGAAAAAATGTTTTCAACAAAAGCAAAACATCTTTTGAGGAAAAAAAATCCTTATTGCCGTGTTTGATTGGATGTGGAATTCCACCTTCCAATTTAACCTTATTTGATAGCCTTTTTTTAACTTAGAATTGAATTTCCAACTTGAGTGCTACATAAACCAAATGCCACCAATTCAAGGAATTGGAATTCTCACCAAAATGGTGAGAATTGGAATTCCTTGTGTCTGTAGCATTTTATTATTATCTTTTTCGTTTTTTATTTTTTTGCAATGGAAACAAATTCTAAAAATTAATATAAAAAAATATTTTCCTTTAATTGATAATTTTCATGTAAAACAAATTCAAAAAAACACCAAAAGGTAAATGATCCCACTGTTCTAAAAGGCACGCATTAGCAGCCCTAGGCGGCGCCATTGCGCAATACGTGGAGGAAACGTCAAGCCAAGTGGCTTGGCGACTTATTTAGTGGTTAATAGCAATCTTTGATTGCTAATGTACGCCTAGGCGCGCATAATTATTTTTTAAATTATTATTTATTATTATTATTATTATTTTATATTTCTTCTAAGTTAAAATTTAAATGTCGATTTCTCCACTTCGTCATTTCTAAATTTAAAATAGTCGCTTGAAACCTTGAATAGAGGAAATCTCCCAAAAATTTCTATTTATTTACTATTTATATTTGGAACTTATTTTTTTGTTGAACACTTTGAAAAAGTGTGTAAATTTATTTTAAATGTTTGGCAAGTTTTATTTTTAATTATTAAACGATTTTTCAATTAATTAAAAGTTAAAATAAGAAAACACCTTTTTATGCTTTTTTACTTCTATACCTCACCTAACCCATAACTCAGCCTCCACGTATCGCCACGCAATACGACTTTTAGTACACTGATTTTTCCAAAAGTAAAGAAATACTCTTTGTTACGCTTCTTTTTTAAAATTAAAAAGAAGAAAGATAAATTCTCTTTCTCTCTCTTTCTTTCTTGCCCAAAAAGTCAATAATTGCAACAACAATTAGATACAGTATCTATATATTCAGTTGAGAAAAAGGACATATTTTGCCTATTTTTGCTTTGCTTTCAACATTCAAAACTCATTTTCAAACATATATTTTATGATAAAATAATTTTACAGATAAATTTTAAACATTTTCTTATTTTTCAATGATACATTCTAAAAAAGCACTATTCTATTATACACTTTCACTCCAAAAATAAGCACAAACGTGATCCTAGTATTCAATCTTAAATAGAATTGTAAAATAAACTATAAATAACCAAAAAATTTATTTTTTTTCCACAGATAAATTGACCATCTAGATGTTCATTCATAAGCCGCGGCCAATGCAAGAACGCAAAAATTGTGCCACTGAAATGCAAATTTCAACACGACTGTTAATTGTGAGTTAGGTAAACATGACTTTTATAAGTTAAAGTGTTAAGTGGTAACTAACGATTGTTATTTTTATTTTGTAAATCAAACCATCACGTGAGCAAAATATTTAATCATGTTTAGAAACGTATAAAATTTTCGACTTGACCCACATAATATACACGTGATGGCGCTGAAATTGCATATGATAAAAGTGAATAATCAACCTTGTGTCTAACGGATGATCTTTACCTTATTAACATGTCTCTTCTTTGGTAAGGTGTATAAACTTTCCACAAAATAAAAGCTAGTTACTACATTGAAGCCTTTTAGTCCAAATTAGGGATGGTAATGAGCGGATTCGAAGTGAGGCAGTGTGTGGCAGGGTCCCATCAGACATTTTCCCTCCCCGTTATCCATTTAAGGCGAGGCGGGGTGGGGTGGAGTGGGGTAGGGCATTGTCTCGTTTAAGTTCTAGTTTATTTATTTATTTATTTTTAAATTTTTGATAATTCATTTTATTTCTCATATTCATTAAAGTGAGACAATAATATAGTTATTAAATTTTTAAAAGTTAAATTATTCAAATATATTTGATAAACTAAGATCTTTATTATTTATTATATTTCTTAGATAATCTTAGTTGTCATCTTTCTATTAGAATTGATGAAATTTCGTAGAGTTTTTCATCTAAAGTATTGAGTTCTTAAATAAAAAATAAAGAGGGCGGTCCGTTCCCCGTATTTGCTCGGGGCAAAATCCTCCGCCCCGTATTAGGTATGACGGATTTTTTTGTCATCGCTAATCCAAATAGGGTAGTGTTACATTAAAAGGATCAACTATATAACTGTAGGAGAATTTTTTTTTTTTTTTTTTTTTTTTATGTCATTACACACGAATGCAAATTTAGAAGAGGTCGTTCAATATTACCAAACTAGGATATAAGGTCGATATTTAATTGATTAATTCAAAACTTCTCTACTTCTTTATTTATTTATTTTATGAGAGCGATGCCTCTTTATTTATCATAGAATACTACTAGTAAGATGGATATATTTTCCATCAATCAAACGTTACGTCTTCCATAAATATTATGGTTTGCACTACGAGCCCGTTTGATGGAATTTATTTGAAAATAATAAGTTATTAAATAGTATTTTTTGGAGAATGTATGATTAAAAAGTAAGAAAATTTTATTAATTTGTGTGTATAATATTTTATTGAGTAAACGTGTGGTGAAGAATATTACTGTAACAAACAATTTAAATTTATAAAGGATGACAAAAAGGAGCTAAGTGATATATCCTTTTAGTTCACGACAATAACTCCTACCTCTGGAAGCGGAGGAAAGCGATTCATGTGATGGACGGCTAATGATCATGGAGCGAAAAAGGGTCTAACATTGACACAAAGAAAGATGGAGCATCTTTCCTTTCATACCGATTGACAATGATATCCCTTTCTCCTGTCATTGCGAAACTTTATAGAGCTTACATGTGTTGATGGCCTCTCTCTTGTTATTGGAAACAAACGTCATCTAAGATAGTAAGATTATGGCTACAACTCATGATAGAAGTTTTCCAGAGATCCACAAACTTTTACATACTAAGCCCTGTTTGAGTCACATTATTTGAAAAAAATGTATTTTTTAACAGTGATTTGACATTATTTTAACCACATCTTTTTCAATAAAATAATATTATACACAAATTCAAAACTTTTTCTTATTTTTAACAATACATTTTCCATCAATACACTATTCAAAAATATATTTTCATTTCAATAATGTGGCTCAAACAAAGGCTAACTAAAAAGAGCATAACTAAGCTCACGTCGTACTTTTCATCATCACGTTACGTGGGTAGAAATTTGTTAGTTTGTGGCCACTTTCAGATAGGTACACAAAATGGTTGTTCATAGTCCACTTTTGATATGGCCAACATCTTATCGATCCATCCCCAGGGGCACAGCTCAACTGGTGGATCAATCAACATTGGCTTGCTTCCAGTGGCAAGGTGGAGAGTTCGATCACTGTGGAGAAGGGTCTCTTGTGCGCAGAAGTGTACAATCAATGGGAGGAACATGTGATCCAGTTGAGGCATAACCTACGATTTACCCCCTCCAAGGTTATAGGAGTATGGATCTTAGAGGTCCAGGATTTAGTTTGGTGTAAGTTGGGATACCTGGATATAAAAAAAAAAAAAAATTCTTTTCGATCCTATTAATGAGTTTCATTGATGTTAAATTACCCCGGATTGGTTTACCCAAAAAGTTGAATTAAAATATAAGTCAATATTAATAATTAATTACAACAACACATTCCACGACATCAACAACTTTTTAAGATTATCTTCTCGGTCAAATGTTAACATAATTACGATACAATTGATTTTTATTTAAACAAAATAGGGTAGAATACACCTTGCCGATAACCAAACTGAAAACAACCAGCTCGAAACCAGAAACTTGTATGACTAACATGAAACTTGTCTCAAGGTGAGGTGACTTGTAATTTCCCTTCATTTTTCTTCCCCACTGAATCTTGTTCATGGATTTCGCCATGCTCATCCTCCTCTATCTGGAATCTATAAACCCTTACCACTTTCCCTAAATCATAAAAGTACCAAAATTAGTGATATTCCTCAAAATTACAACTGAAAATATACCCCCGTTTTCTCTTGTAAGAGTTCGAGTATTATTTGGTGACATTATTATTATGTATAGATCTGGGGCGGTGATGGCATGGAATGTATTCAAATTTTGCACGGCCTTGAGGGGCTTGGGTTCGATCATGATATTATTAGTCCTCGGCGTCGTTGGGGTGACGTATTACGCCGTCGTAATTACCAATTACGGCCCAGGTCTCGCCGCTGGCGGGCTTGATTCGCTGATCGCTTTTGTCGTCCTGATCTTGTTCCATTTACTGGTAATTTCTGCTTAATTTCATCGGTAATTGAAGAATTTCGTATTTGTCACGGGTTGGGTTGTTAGATAGATTTTGATGGTTTGCTGTTGAAAATTGAAATCCAGTTGTTATTTTAGTAATTTGGACTTCTAGTAGAGTGTTTGGATATTTAAAAGTTAATGTGGCTAGTAAAAGATGATGGTGATTTTCAATCATATATGGAATTCCGGCCGTTTTTGTTTGTTTTCAAGATAAAATTTTCTCAAGTATGCTAAATTTTGGAAACTAAATTATAATTAATCATCTTCTTAGCTGAAAATTGGATATTTTATACTTTCCCCATTTAGCTATTACTTATTTGATGGGTATTTAATCTCTTGATCAAAAAATTTACTGCTTTCACTGTTATTTAGGATCAGAATTTGATCATTCTAGTTCTTAGTTAGAACACAATTTCAATTGAAAAGAATTTGTTTTAATTATGATTATCTGTTCGTTTTTTCATTTCTTGAAATAATTGTGATTTTTAGAAAGTTGAGGGATGTCAAGCAATTAACTTTTAGCTCTATAGTTGTAATTTGAAAATATACAATACGGAATGGAACTCAACAATGATTAGTTTTGTTATTCAGCTGGTAATGCTACTATGGAGTTATTTTTCTGTGGTTTTTACGGACCCGGGTAGCGTCCCGCCAAATTGGAGGACAACATTAGATGAAGAAAGGGGGGACACTGACCCGTTGACCTCAGCGGAATTTCCAGTGGACTCTGAGAATGGAAGAATTCGCATTTGTAGAAAGTGCAACAACTTAAAACCACCTCGGTGCCATCATTGTTCTGTTTGTGAGTTACTCTTTACATTACCCTCATGAGTATTCATAGCATTCTCTAATTACTTTTAAGAGGAACAACCTGTTGGACTACCTTCTTAGGTGGAAGGTGCGTGCTGAAAATGGACCATCATTGTGTGTGGGTTGTCAATTGTGTTGGAGCCTTGAACTACAAGTATTTCCTCCTCTTCCTGGTATGATGTCTTCTATTTTTAGGAAGTGTTATTGGTCAGTTGATTCATCTTGATGATTATGTTTGGTTCTGAACTATCATATTACAATATAAATGCTTCTTTTTCACAATGTTGTTCTCTCTGGAATACGAGTACTTTTTGCTTTGTCATGAAGTTTGTATCTTGTAGGAATGAGTTGTCCGTTTCTTCTTTCTTTGTGCACCTAGCATGTTGTTAAACTCTCAGCATACCGGACCTTTAGCTTCTATGATATTGAATAACTTTGCAAGTATGAGCAAAATTCTTTCATAAGGAAAAAACTTATAAATGTGCACGACCAATCTGTTGTATCCAGGCTCTTGGGGATTGATAATGGACTGAAATAACAATATATCTGTGCTCATGATATAAAGTAGTATCGCTTCAATATGAAGAATCCTTGTCTGCATGTCTTGAAATGAATAACAATTGGAATACGGATGCTTTTTTACGAGTTTCTGATATGTCTGATTTTTTCAAATGAAATGGCAGGCTGACATTTGAATGAAACTGGGGTTTTTCCCTCTTTTCTTCCCTTTATAGACATCGTATGCTTGTAAGGTCTCGTGGTTAACCCCTTTTGATGATCTCTGGGATATTTGTCCAACTCTCTGTAAATTTCTGCGCATTCAATTTCAGAAAGGGAAAGAAAAGCTATTTTTTTCCCCTCTATGAATTGATTGCATTATTTTGCATCTGAGGAATTTGTTAGTATTTCTTGTTGAAGCCTTGGAGCAAAATTGTAAAGGTGGCCTCCATAAACTCTCTAAGTTGGCTGTGAGAGGATCACTTTTAGGCTCATTTTATGTTACCTATGCTCTTCTATTCAGTGATCATTGCTGGGTTTAAGTTGTGTGATGCCTTATTGTGCAATCCTATTTGCTTTAGCCCCTCTTTGGCTCCATTCTTTAAAAACTCATTTTCAACCACATTCTTCGAAGAAAATAATTTTACACGTAAACCCCAAACTTTTCCCTACTCTTTAACCGTATTATCCACTATTACAGAACTTATTCTCCAAAAAAATTGGGCTCAAACAAACCCAATGAATTCTGCCTTTTATCTGTTATTCCATTTGGCTTGCTAAAGGGCAACCGATCCCGACTTCCGAGTCTTTCCCTTGCTTCAGCATATTTATGTCTCTTCCCATCACCCGCTGTAACCGCATAGATGTTAGAAAAGCACAAGGAGGGTAAAGAATGTATGAGATCAGGAGAAGATTTTTAAAATAATTGAAAGAAATACCATGTTTCTCATTGTCAACTAGGATAATCTGAAAGTAACTTGCAACGGTGAGAATACACTTCTTTTAGTACAAGTAAGATGTTAATTTCTGCCAGTTATCATACTACAGTGAAACATTTCATCTCACCATGAGGTATCACCTTTATCATTTCAAAATTAAAATTTTCCCTCATTCATTAGTCACTGTTTCATTTCATAAATCTCCACAACTTGAATGTCATTTTCATGTTCTTCATTTGCTTTTATTTCCTGATGAATGCTGTTCAAACTTACTCATGGAGTTCCAATTATTTTGTGAGCTTGATATATAAAAACACGATAACAACAATATTGTATAAATTTTTGATAGTTTTGTTGGGTTGCAGTTCTACACATTCCTCGAGACTACTCTTGTGACATTATCATTGCTGCAACATTTTATTGCTTTCTTTAGTGATAAAGAGATACCTGGGACTCCAGGGACCCTGGCAACTACCTTTCTTGCCTTTGGTAAGTTAAAATACTGCGTCTCCATGCGACAACATCCTCCCATCCCCAACACCCTTTTCCGATTCCTGTTGCATAGCATTTTATCTGGCGCATGATTTCTCTATGTTTCACAGTATTGAACTTGGCATTTGCTTTGAGCGTTATGGGATTTCTGATAATGCACATATCACTGGTGGCTGCCAATACGACCACCATTGAGGTATGATACTTGTATTTAGTTTGATAATCCAATTTGGATGTAGAGTATATCCTTTATATTAGAGTTCACTGATTATCATTATCCTTATCACCCCCGGAGTATAGCCCTGGGGGACAAATTTTGTTGTAAATCATTTTGGTGCGGTCCAATAGAGTATATGCTTTAGGTCTCTGCATGCTTTGCCCATTTTGACTTGAAGTTTTGCCGTTTTCTTCTCAGAATGCTCTCAATATGCCTGAGACAATTTGGGTGTAGGTAGTGCTTTAGTGTATAAAGGGAGAGGGAAGAGGCTGAATTGAAATGTTCAGTTGATTGACCCAGTTAAAGCCATTTATTCCTTCCTCCCAGGATACATGTCAATTGAAGTGGTTGGAGTGATGATAGCTGATGTTTCTATTGACTTGTATTCAGGCATATGAGAAGAAGACTACTCCGAAGTGGCGTTATGATCTTGGGCGGAAAAGGAACTTTGAACAGGTTGGTTTGATTTTAAATGAATAAATATGGTTTCTTTTTCTCACAAAAGTTTGCTTTAATAGTGACTGAAAGTGTCCAGTGGTTCACAAGTCACAACTGAATAAATATCAAGTACTTGAAATTGTTCTTTTCTATTCTTAACACCCTTCAGGTGGCTCATAAAATAGTGAAGCATTGTTCGTGTGAATGTGTATGGTTTGCTTAGTCGAGGAAACTAAAATTGGTATGTGAATTGACAAGAGACACCATGTACACTTTAATTTACACAATATGTTCCTCTGGTCAGATTAGAAAGTGGGATTACTATATAAAGATGTCATTGAGATTATTGCTGTTGTCAAGCAAAAATCAATCCATATAATCTAATCTGGTGATATTATCTTCAAGGGAGAACATTGGAAGATGAAGAAACATGAAAAGGGAAATTGAGAAGGCACATGATAGTTGGCCCCCATCCTAATATTCAATTTCCCCCAAACTCGTTTTCTACCACATAATTCATGGGACACACAATTTTTCACACATTTCTTTTATTTCTATTAAAAACCTAATGTTTATCCTAACCAAACATGGGCTTAATAAAAATGAGTGTTTGAAATTGAAGCAGTAAGGCTGAAGGGTAAAGAAGAAGAATAAAATCTTGAGCTATAATCCCCAACACATTTTATTTCCACAATCTTGAAAGTGAAGGTTTTTGGTGTGTGTTTCATACAAGAGACATGCTGATCTTTGCACTTGTGACCTAGAAAAGGAATCCCAAGAGCATTCAAGAAGATCGATATCTTTATACGATGCTGATATCTTCATATGATGTGTCTCTTAGTCTTTGGGAAAATTGACAATGCCGTTTTTATCCACGAGACACCAAGTTTCAACTGTTAAAGTTGACTTTGTGACTTGTCTCACTGCATGTTCTTGGCTGGTGTTCAGCATCAGCTATATTTTATCTAAACGCTCTATCCTCAATTAATCATGGTTTTGCCTATAAAAACTTCTATATGTTCATTTAGCCTCCTTTTGGCAAATTTATAAATGGTCGAACATCATTTTCAACCACACATTCCAATTACCCACAATTACTATCAACTTATTTATTGCATTCCATCGTCTCGTATTGTACTATACCGTATCATACCAGATAGATCTATTGAGTGAGAGAAGGGTATCACTCGGTTATATCTCTTTATAAATTATTCTATTTATAAATTCTCCCAAAACAAGGCTTAGACGTCTGATCATTTTCTCCATGTGGTGCCACATCTTGTAAATTTCTAAGTGGCTTAATTGGTAATATATAATTGAAATAGCTGAATCAAGTTTTCTTTCTCCCATTTTTGAGTTTCCACTCGCCAACTAATATATCTCCTTTTGAGTATTTAGGTGTTTGGAATGGACAAGATGTACTGGTTTATTCCGGCTTACTCAGAAGAAGATTTACGGCGGATACCTGCCCTTCAGGGTCTTGAATATCCTTCAAAGCCTGACTTGGATGCCCAAGAATTCTGATGATAAATATATGGCTCCATCTGGGCATCTTTTCACCTTACAGTTACAGACTTGGAAGCTCCAAAAGACTGATAATTTTTTTTCACCTTTTAGTTGATTTAATCGATTGTAACTAATTTGGGACTGGAGCACTCCTTCTCCGACCTCTCTGCTGTATTATATTAATGGCATATTTAGTTCAACTTTGTCAAAGTCATTTGTCATTGTAGCACAACTCTTTGAAATTTTGCACGACAGGAGAATAGTTGCGGCTTGCGAAGATCACCTTAACATAGAAGTGCAGATTAAAAGATCCTGTTATTCTGGAAAACTTGTACTTTAGGTTCTTTTCTTTTGGCAGGTTTTCTAGGACTCGTACATAAATTTTTATGTATTTGATTACATGCATGGAACTCGTGTGGAAAAAAGTAAATTCTATGCAATCGATTTGTCTAAAACTTATTTAATGAAAATTAATAATTTAATGTTCGATTGCCTTAATTTTCAACATAAAAAATATCCACTTTTTCATAAAATTGAATTTCTAAAAAGTGTAAATTACCTAGAAAATAAAAATATATCCTCCTTAAAGAACATTTCCCTTGTTTTTGAAGAAAGCATGATCACATGACCACCACCTTTTGTAAAATATTTTACATAAAAAAATATCAATCAAACACTCCAAAATAAGAACATGAATGGATAAAGAACTTTCATGAAAAATAAAACCAACCAAACACTTATTTTGAGGTATAAGAAAACATTGCATGCCCTTAAAAGGAAAATTCCATTCTTGCAAGTCTACATGACAGCCAAAAATACTGCACCCAGAAAATAAAAGGGAAAGAGAGCATCAAGACGAGTGACCTTTCCTTTCAAGAACACTACGCCACGTTTCTTAAAGATGCATCGGAGTCTAAACCGGCCAATTGCTAGCCGCTTTGTCCATAAATGCTTAGGTAGGATTTCCTCGAAAATTGAATCACGTATGCTAGTAAAAAAATAATACATGTTACACTAAGGAAATACAGCCATAACAACTTTATATGATGCAAAATTTATAAGAAATGCTCCTTTACAAATCAAAGAAATGGGCTTTTCATTTCCTCCCACGATTTTCTTCATATATGTATAATTCTGCCTTATCCATTCGTCCCCAACATTTGGAAATTTTACACCCAATATTGCATCAAGTGACATAGTTGAAATGCTTTACCATCAGGTACAACAACTGCATCTTGACCTTCTGATCAAAAATCTGATCTGGCAGCAGTGAAGGATGAAAGAAGCCCGGCAGCTTGCGCTGGTAATATGTCACCAAACCTGCCAACTTGCCCATCTGTCAGAATTGAACCCAGTCTAAGTGTGCTCTCCCCAAATTTGCTGCCAACCTGAGAATGACCAAGAATTCAAAACAATTTAGGAAATAGTTTTTTATGACTAATCTTAGTCAACATATTTATCTAATCTAATGCAAATAAAAAAGAGAAGGAAACAACTCTAGGGATGAACTAGTTCCTCTTTTAAGTCTACGGGGCCAATAAATCCAAAAAATGGCAGACTGGGAAAGGAAAGAAATTTTGTAATTATCAAGTACTGAAGATATAATTTTTTTTTCCCAGACAGAATTAACGGACATCGATAATGTAACTGATGGACAATGCAAGAATGCGGTAGCTGCCGCAAGCACCAAACTAACAGCACGTAAAATATGGTACAAGTTGTGATTGTAAGAAAAAGGAAATAGCAATATAGTCAAAGTAAAAGCCAGCATAAATAGAATTTTTTGCATCACCACTTGGCAACAAGTTCTGAAACTAATGAAGCACAAGAATAAGTGTTAACTGAAGAAGCAGCCTCTTGGCAAAAAGGTGCTTAGTGCACAGAGCAAAAATGCCTTGGCGTTTTGGAGAATCACCTGCTTGGACCATTATATGAAAAAATGACTCTATGGTTCTCCTTTTTATCCAAGGATCTTGTGGAATATAGAATAAAGAGGAGCACAAAATAGCACACAGCTGATGCTTTTATGAAATAAACTTCTCCCTTCTGCTCATTAAGAAAACCAAATTTCATATGGTAATTGACTTGACATCCTTTGTATAGATATATACTGAACTTTGTGGTGATAAAGAACTTTAAGAGGCTAGTATACAAAATATAACTGAGATCTTTCTATAACTGAGTCCTACTGCCTTATCCTTCAATTATTGCTTGTTCACCAAGGCTACATTTGCTACACCGGGGTAGACTGTACAAGAAATTATGCATAAAATTAGATAGTATTAAGATGGATTGAGATGGAAAGTAATTATAGTTTTTGAGTCAAAAAGAATGTTATTTGCGCTTTCTTTCTTATCCATTCTAAACTCACCTCCTCGCTTCATATTATATTATCCTGTTAGCTCAAGAAAGGACAAATAACAATTTTTTGAATTAAAAACTAAAATGTTATCCACCTTAGTACATCCTAATACTATCTACATACTGTATATCTACTTAAATTTTATACTTAATTCGTTAGAATTTAATTCGGTGTAAATACAGCCTAAACCAATATCATGAGCCCAAAATAATCATACTTGAGCAAGTTGAAATAAGTCAACAGCATAAGAGACCATAAGGGATGTTACTGCCGAATTTTTTCTTGACGAGATAGGCGGCCAATGGTGTTGAGCAAAAGATCCTTAATTATCACTAAATCATAGAAGGTTTTCATACACGAGTACCTGCATAAAACTATCTACATCATTTTCATAACTTTAGGCACTTCTAAACTGGGACTTTCTAGAAAGTGTTGCTTCCATCTACCTGCTTAACACTACCAACACCATTTTCATAAATTACAAGATATTTAAAAAGGAACGCTTCTTTCTACTCGTTCTCACTGTTAGAAGGCAAAATTAATACTGTCCAGAACGAGCAAAATTGCAATCACTTCTGATGCTTCTAACGCCATCATTGCATGAGACTATGTAGACTTTGACAGTCCAAGTGCATTTTGTGTGGGACACCATCAGGCAACATAAAATGTGCCAAGACTATGGAATTCAACAATTACAAGTCAAATAAAATTTTACCTCCATGAAAGACTTAAAAAGTGGTGCTGCCATCCCCAAACTTGAGTTCTCATCAATGTCAATCTTTCGTGATATCTCATCATTTGTGTAACTTCCCCATGATTTTCTCAAGGACATATCATCCATAGATGTGGATACCCTGGTAGCACCCCTCGAAGACAATGCTGGTGCACTAGATAAAAACTAAAAGTTTAAGAACACATTTTCTCTGTCAAGGTGTAGAAATCATCTACAAGGAAGAGGACCATATGAACAAGATATTTGTTGTAAAGGATAGTGAACTACCTGATGGGAAGATACTTGAAACGGGATACTCTAGAGCATTGCATTATATTAGATTCAGAATTAGTGGGCAACTTCTGTACAGTATCCATATACATCCGATTAAGTTGCACAAAAAATCCAAAGACAACAGCATGCCTAAGGTATGATTGCTTCTCATTCTCCCAAAGGTATGGCTCGTAGCTGAAATGTGAAAATAAATCAGGTTTAATAAATGAATCTAAAGAAACGCGAGTATATTTATCATATTTGCACCATAAAATATTTCGGTTGAAATGGATACCATACCATGAACTCTTGTTTTCCCCAATGAAAAAGATATAAACCAAATAATTACTTGCCAAATAATCTTAACAGCACAAATCTCAATGCCCAGTTATTTGTTTTACAATGTGCAATTCTTCCAATAAATTACTTAGCTACATTTTTTTCAACAGGACTATTATCGATACGCAATAAGGCCGAACAATCCATTCAATCAACTGCTCAAAATAGACTCAAGCATTCAAAACAAAAAGTTCATTACTAGATTCACAAACTTACGTTAGCCAGTCTATAGGATCCAGTCTTTGTGAAAGACGATTTACCAATCCATCGATACGTTCTCTGATGACTGATTTAGTTTGCCGTAAATCCTGTTTCCTTCTAAAAGAACTGTTCACCTTCGGAATTTTAGCGGAGTCCTCATTTGCACTAAAATCACCACCACAGAGAATATCAGCAGCAAATTTTAAATCCAACAAAACTTGCATAACACCTCTCTCTGACACTTGACGCCCATGAGCTTCCCCAATTGAAAGGAATTCCTCATAAATTCCAATTAACTATGCAAATATACAATTAGAAAGAATGCAGTTATATTTGTGCACAATAAAAAGAAAAATGGTGATGAATGAATCTATGAGCATGAAAATAAAAGCATTAATTGTTGAGAAGTTATAAAAATTCATGTATTCTTTAACCACTCTCATCTTGATACATACTGCTCAATTTTGAATATGGAAGTTTAATATAATTGCATTCAAGATAAAAACTTTGCAGGCCTTCTCTTTCAGTTTGGAACTCAATTTGTAATGGAGACACACCAAGAAGAATATTTTTTGGAATTCAGTAAAAGAGTTTCCATTTCACAGGCATGTATCTCCCATGTGTCGCACCGAAGATCATTTCACCCATAGAAGCTGGAATACCCAAAAATTTATGCTTTTCTAATTCTTTTGTCTCGCTATACCTTAACGAGGTCAATTTGAATCATGGGAACTTGATAATAATAAGCTCACTAACTCCTTTAGACAAGGCATACAATATATTAGCAATAAGACCATCCAATGACTATTTTTTTAACAAATTTCATTTTTAAGTTCAGCCTGTCTCATGTAACAGAATGTGGCACGACTCAGAGAGTGCAACTCATGGCTTCTTTAAGCTTCTAAGCCTTATTTTGCATAACTGATAAAATCTCGACATTCTAGCTTTCTTGTAAAAGAATTTTTGGCAAGGGAGAGATGTTCGAGGGAAAAGAGGAAATAGATAATGATCAACCATGGGAGATAACCATCAACTCGTGATACGAGGTCAGCAGAAAAAAAGGAGAATGAGATGAGTTTCATTAGGTTTAGGAAAGTGTAATACATGATATTTATTCCAGAAAGTTATAAATTGGAAGATTGGGAACTGTATGTTCAGAAAAAGTAAATTGCAAAAATTGGTTTAGAGTGTCAGATTTGAAAGTACAAATTAAGATGTACGTTGTACATCCTTGAGAAAATAAAATCCTATGCTGGCTTGATATTTTAAGTGTCCACTTTTGAATTTTGACTATCTCAGAGGACAGGTT